TATATGCGTTTAAAACTATATATATTTGATAATAAGGTATTTTTATACTTATATAACTTGTGATTCTATAATTTGAATTAGAAATTCATGACTTTCAACAACAATGTTTCTCACATTAAAGTAAAATAATAGCTAGATTACAAAATTTAAAAGTAAAATTCCTATAAAAAAGAAAAACTTGATATTTTTATTACGAAAGAAAAACATACTTATGAAAAAGAGTAATTGATTATAGTAATGATAAAGTTTCAAAAGATTAATGATAGTGTTTATTTATTGCACAATTGCACTATAGATAAAATTTTTAGATGTTGTTATCTTGTTAATGAATATTTTAGATGTTTTTAGATCTTAATAGATATTTATATATGATGATATTTTGTATTTGTGACTTAATTTTATTTATATTTATGTCTTTTATTAACATTTTCATTTGTTTATTTTCATTTTTTTGAAAAAAAATTAAAAAATATAAAAAATAGTATTTTTTTTTCTTAAACGGGTCAAAAACCTACGGGCCGACCCTGAACCCTTTAACTTAAAGATAGCAAATTGGAGTATTTTTTAAATTTTAGTCCTTAAAAACCGGTCTTCTTAAGCCCGCCGAGCTTGATTTCCTCCTCTAGCAGGAGGAGAGGCCGAAGGAAACAGAACAGTGAAGGTCGCAGCTGTTCAGAACGAGGGAGTGGGGAGAATACAATGTTTTAACGAGGAGTGGGGGGTTCACGTGACCCTTACTAGTGGTTTCCAAAACGCCCTCTTTGTCCCTTGTCAAAAAAAAAAAAAACAAAAGCTCTCCTTTTTTTTTTTTAAATTATTAACTAACCCCACCCCCGACCCCCCAGTCCAGACACCCGCTACTAGATTTGTTCTTTTTTTTTTTCCTTATTATTGTTTTTCTTTCCCTTCTTTTTACATTATAAACATATTTATTTTAAAATTTTCCTAAACTTTAAACAGTTGAATTGATTAAGTTTTTCCCCCCAATACAACAGGGGAAAAAAAAAGGGAAAAGACAAAACTAGGTATGGGCAGTAGACTGAATCATCACTCGCAAAGCATCAGGGCCTGGAACCACGGCGCTGTTAACCCCTTGTTTTGCGAGCTTATGCTCCTTTGAATGTAATTAATAATTATAAACTTTAGAGAAAATTGGTAAAAAAATTCCTAATTCAAAATTTGATTAGCTAAAAAAAATCTGAATTTGAGCACGTACAAATATAACTAGCACGAGTTATCCCGTGTGTTGCATGGGGAGCTTTGACATAGCGAAATAATATAATCTTGATGCTTTCACAAGCTATTCATACATTGAATTAGTTTGCAAGATAATTATATTCGAATATGATATCCAGATAAAATAAACAATTATCATCGTCGTGGTCATCACATTAGAAAAAACTAATAACATGATGCATAAGGATGATAACATGGCTTAATCATCATTAAAAAAGTGACCAATTCCTGGACACTACTTTCTCTGATTCTAAACATAAGATCTATTCTGTAATATAATTTATATCACAAAATAGATCTTATATTTAGGACCGGAAGAGTATCATCTTTAAGTTTCATGAGCAATCACTACCGGAACATCTAAAAATAATGATATCGAAACTTCAAAAAAAACATGTCACTTTAGAAGAAATGTTAATCCATCGTCATACAATATCTAAGGACATATATTATAATTTCTTTTTTATTATAAGCATGGTGAAAAAATATAGTCCAGCGATCACTTCCCCACGCACCACTGTACATTTGGAGTTATTTCAATCTAATTGAAATCAATATAACAATGAATTGTAATAACAATGTTGACTCTACATGACTGAAATTTTCAATTCATTTGACACCATCATCAACAATTTCAATTTTTATTAAATTGAGAGTAACAGTAGACCACCTTTATAATAATCGACCATATTTATAAAATAATATAACAATGCTGATTTTGCATTGTAAAATGAACCCAAATTTATGTACTCCCTACGCCATCACAATCTTCAACAGATGAATGACTTTTAATCCCATTTTACAGTTTCATGTTCAGTTCTCGACCTTACCCAAAATCAAAAAAGGTTCACTTCCCGATCTTATCCCAAAAAAAAAGAAAACAAACATTTTACTTCCTGCGGAAGCTTTTACATATGCTGTTGTGTCTGCATTCTCTAATTATTTACTTTCCTATGACGAGTAGAATATTATTACAAACAAAATGGTTTATAAAATTATTGCTATTTCAATAGAAATTATTTATCCAATGTGTTTCAAAGATTGTTTTATATGTTTTGTTTAGGCATCAGTAAGCAAGTTACTAAGGTTGATCATATTAATCTAACTTCAAAAGTTACATAATGAAATTATTTTTAGAAAAAAAACGCTATGGTAAAACAGATCCTAAACGCGCTATGCTTAGGATTTTTTCCAATCATGGGAAAAAATTGAAAGATATAAAATTTGTTGATAAAATATATTTAATAGTCTAAGAAAGATATTTTCCAATCATTGGGGAACTAATTAGTTATGAAAGACAAAGAAAGTAAAAAAATATGCACGTTAAAGAAGAGACACACTGTTTGAAAGTTTTTATTCAGAGATGTGACATCAAACACATAATTTTAAATGCAGTATATATTCATGAACTAATAAAATATATTTGATAATCAACTTCCAAATCCAAGTAATACAGTTAAATTTAGAGCATCAAAAGATTCAAGGAGCATTGCAGCACAAATACTATGAGCCAAGAGCTGGTCAAAAAATAAACAACACCCGCAATATTACTGATGCTGGAAGAGTAGGGAGGGCTTTCTGATAGTGGCAGAAGCATCGCAGTGATTCCTAGACCAACAATAACAGCAAAGTACCATGCATATACTATCATAAAATCGTATAATACCTACCTTGATTGCAGCAGTAGTCCTATTCCCTGTTGCTTCTTCTTCTCCATTCAACTGGACATTCGTTCCATAATCAATTAAAGGAACAGAAAGCTCTGAATAAGCTTTTTGTTTAGGTGTTCTTGTGAAAATGGATATGCACTTGCTTGACCAGCAAAATGTTATCCATGGGTTCTTCTTAAGGTACTCTTATGGTCCTTAATATAATACTCAATTGTTGAGTTGGTTTTGGTCCTAAATATAAGACCCATTTCTTATATTTATCAATTTTCTCTAAATTACCCTCATGGATATTCCTTCAACCATAATCAAGTAGAAGAAGAAGAGGGGGTATTAAAAAAGATAGTTATGGTATTTTAGGAAAAATGTGTCACATTTCTTATAATTAATTAATTTACCTAACTTTCTTAATATAATCAAATTAGTTAAATGGATCTTATATTAAAGACCGGAGGAGTAATAGTCTAGCATAAAAACTTGTGTAACTTGGCTTGTTACAACAAATTATGCTCAAGTTTTGTTGGTCAATGATCCCCATGCATTAGGAAATTACCCGCTAACTCACTGTGGCACGTGACGGCAAATGAAGTTATAAATGAAGCCAACTTGAAGTTTACCTTACTGTTCACCCTACTTACAAGGGAAATTATTTTTTCTCGAAAGTCGAGTATGCATGCAAACAAATTTTCATATAATGGGTTGGACTATTGCGAGTTATATACATTGGTATATAAATATTAATGAACTTTAAAGACTGACCATATTGAAAAGCACATGCATAGGAGTAGTACTAAGATTGAACATTGAATAATATTTATAAAAAAGGCTAAATTGAGCATGATTCACTTAAAAAGTATTGTCACATAATTCTCTTACATTTTATTTGAGTGTGAAAAATCCCCATTATACATATATGGTTATTACATACTTAAATTAAGTTAAATTTCATAATTTTTACGCCTTATCAAAAAGCCATAAAATAATGATAATTATTTATGCATGATAAGAATAGAATAATCATTGCTTTCTTACAAGTTTTTGTACTTTAAGTTTTCATTTGCCACCCAACACGCCTTTATTTTTTTTTAATAATGAAGGTTAGATAAACAAAATTGTGTTTTCTAATCTTATAAAGACCTCCAAGCACAAATAAAGTAATGATGCAGACTTTTACCCCAAAAAACAAAGTAATGATGCAGACTAATGCACAAGTCACATTCCTCTTGAATATTTTTTTTACAACAATTTGCAGCATGCATGCAACCAACTTTCAGCCAACTGTTCACTTTATGACATCTACAACCTACAGGGTGCATTTATGTGGGGAAAAAATAAAATAAAGGTGACTTTCTTCAAAAACTAACCGTTCTTTTTAACAATACAAAATAAAGTTCACAAAGTTAACGGAGGCCTACTTGCGCTATACTGCTGCACTTACCATGTAAAGCTTGGTTATGTTGGACCCTCTTGATTTTTTTTTTTTTTTCCCCTTGCCAGATTGAAATTGTCAGTTAAAGAAAAATGAAAGTTACTACACATTTTCCCCACAGCCTTCAAGGTTTGGCCGAAGCTTATCAGTAACAATTCATGGCCCCTTTGTTTGCGCATTTAAACTCACCTAATCTCAGTAAATGGCATTTAATGCATACTTTCAGTTCATGACAAAGTTGAAAATGATCACAAAATTAGATTCAACATAAGAGGCTGTGAAATCAATCTTTGGCGTTTGGGTAAACCAATATCTAAAGATTTTCGTCTATATTCTTAAATAAACCTCTTACAGTTTAAATGATATGGAAACAAAAAAAAAAAATCCCTCAATTTTCTATTCTAGCTAGTCAAACACTGCAAACCTTACTTTATATTAATTTCTTAACACCGTTTCTCTTTCATTCTCCTCAATTTCAGGTTTGCTACCATTACTATTGATGATCATATTGCTTTTTCTCCTTTGTAGAGCTGCAGTATTCAACTCAATACTATATTAATAACTTAATACATTTTTCCTTATGCTTTCAATGTCTCCTACTCTCCTATAACCTGCATATTCAATTCAATAACATAATGAAATCAACAAAACCAGTAAAGCCCACTGACTACATATATAACAATTAAAAAAGAATATTTCATTAAATGCATAATGTAATTGCAAGGTTTAAGGAGACAAGCAAAATAAAATGTCTACATATTATATTGCTACTCAATATAGATAAACCACAGCTTATGAAGACATGATGAATCTCTCCTAGGCAAGATGAACAAATTTCTATACTTGCTCTCCTCCATAGTAATGTAAAATGAACACTCTTCATGGTTTTATAGTTTTGGTCTTGGGATTTATTATGTCATCCTCTACTAAGAGCGCAAATGCAGGAGCAAAAAAACACGGGCCTAAATTCTACCTCAACCTGCAAAAGTAAACATCATCAGCACAAAAATAATAAAAGCACAAGAACAATAGCAGCCAAATTAGGATCGTTAGCCTCACTTAGATTGCATAACTCTTTATGGCATGATGATAGAATCCCATGAATACACAATTTCAACATGAACAAAAAAATATTCTACACCCTCCCCAATGCAAATGACTTTACCCACCAGCCAAAAAGGACATAGTTTCAAAACAACCTTTCTTTGCTGAGAGGCAAGCTGAGCATGTCAAGATAATTCAAAAGTCAGAATATATCTTAGCGTTTTTAAAGGACTCCACAAAGCAAACAGAACGTACAGGTCACTGGCTATCATGCACCCTCTCTACTGGAAGATAGCAAAAGCATGACTGCCACATTATTTGTTCTTCCTCGGTATCACCACTGATGAAGATCCACAACCAAAGGTTAACCCCCTAGGCATACACAAAGCAAGAAACTGACTTGAAAAAATAACACAAAACATGAGAAGAAGAATCAAACCGTTCAAGATCTAACTCACACCAAGCCAAACCCCATAGTCTCTTAAGTCACCTGCAAACAGAACTACCGAACATCCTAGAATGTAAAGAGTAGTTTCGACTTAATCCAAAAACTTTAATGTTGGAAACACACGCCAAACAACTGGCAAAACAACAATACAATACTGCATAACAGAAAGCTGAGTCTACTGACGTTTTTTAAAATGAAATCCACACGTTAGTCAAAGCAATTGTAAATGCTACTGCTGGTTGAAGGTGTTTTCTTAGCTTGCTTGAGGTTAAGGTATCACATGAAAGGCAGTTAGGATTCAGGAACAAAAGTCAGAGATATGATCACTTAGGTTTGATTATTATGATTAACATTAACTAATCTTAATATTTTATATTGACCTTGATCAACTAACCTTGATACAGAATGCTTTAACCACAAGACCAAGGGCAGCAAAGTATTCATACTCCAAGACAGAGAAGGCAGTAAGATGCAGAATAACATCATTGTGAGACACTCCCTTTTGTTTCTTTTCAATGCAGATTAGCATTGTCCACAATGATTGCATATTTAATCTTCTTCTACATCACTTTTGATAAGTAAGTTTTAACCCTCAACCTCACTTTGAAAAAAGTGTTTCCCTCCTCATTTCAAAATTTTTTCCAGTTACACTTTGACAGAATACCCGAATAATAAACCCAGAAGAGATAACAGATTGAATCCTCTGAAGCAATCGCATCCCTCACATTCTGATAAATAGAAAAAATAGCAGAAAAAATAAAAATGCCCTGAAAAAGGATTGACACCAAAATTTACTGAGACGATCATTGGGTGACACATTCAAGGGTCCGCTAGAACATAACCTGAACTATTGTAAGATGCAGACAGTTATTTTAGCAGCAGCTCCCTACCGTTGCAACCTCACCTCAAGTCAAATGCAGCAGCACAAACCAAGATCTCCTCGTCTCAGCCTCCCCAGCATCATCGACCTCATCACCAATGCATCTTTGCCATTATCATGTTCACCAGATCATTAAGCACATGCTATTTCAAAGTTCAAACAAATAGCACATTAGGGACGGGGGCTCAAAACATTTGATTCAGTTGTCAAGAAACAGCATGCCTCCATGACACTACGGGCTTCTTCCAAATGCGATGCTGACCCGGGTTGAAGAAATCATTGAGCTAAGGAAATAGACAAAAAAAAAAAACATAAATAGGGGAAAAAAAAAAAGGAGTGTTAAGGTATGATACAAAATAAGAAGAAGAAGAAGGTGTACCTAATCATAAACAAGAGCAATGTGATTATACACGGCCTGGCGTTTAGGGGCGCATCGAGCTGGGCTACAACTTAAAGTAGGAGAAGCAAGAGGCTGGGACGACAAGAACAAAGCGAGAATGATGTGTTAAACGCTCTCTTCTTCTCCTTGCCAATATAGAAGGAAGACGAGTTCCTTTTATCTGGTTTGTGATTTCATTTGTGGTTGTGATTAAAGAAATAGCACTCCCGCAGGTCTGTAGTTAGCGGGGGAGTTTCAAAAGTTTGAAATTCAAATCCTGGGTCTCTGTCAACTATGCACTAAGCCCAAGTGAAGTCAATAATTAATAACGGCTTGGGCTTGCACAAAGCCAGATGCAATTTAATCCAAGCCATCTAATCCTTGTGAACATTAATTTGTCTCTAGAGCCACCAGTGAGCCGACACAAACATATGGCTTGAGTGGAAGAGATTGAATAGTTATATTGATATGTGAGTGTAACATATCTTCTGTTGTGTGCAAATAACTTCCGTATTGATAATTGTTGCATATCATTGATAATATGTTGCACACAACGAAAAATATATTGTACTCACGGATCATAGTTGTACTCTCTCAAATTCAAGTCATTTTAGCCAACTAAATTTTTAAACAGGAATTTTTCACCAATTTTTTCAAAACTTTATACACTTGTAACTTTAAAAAAAAAAAAAACTTCATACACTTCAAGTTGAACTGGGGCTTTTATTAGATCTAGATGGGAATCCATGGCATTAAGATTAGGTTTTCCGATTACATGGCATGATCATTGAACCTCAATGACTTCCAACATAAAAAGCAAAACAGAACATCTTTACGAGCAATTCGATTACTAGTGCATCGTGAAAAATACTGCTAACCCAGGAACTTTTATGTAGAAGAGACAGAGCTCCAAATAAACCAGTTACCCGGATCTAAAATGTGAAATTTGTGTCACGGAAATGTATCTAAAAGGTAACATGATTATCGTCAAAATACCTGAGTCAACAATAGCTCACTCCCTTGCCTCTTACAACCTCACCAATTTTGTAGACTTTGTCCAATTCGTTCCCATTATCAAGTATTTTAATTGACGCCTCAGGACTCACTACAAGTACCATCCCTATGCCCATATTAAATGTTCGCCTCATCTCGCTATCTTCTATATTTCGAGCCCAATAATGTACGAAATCATCAGTATTAAATCATCTCCATATAATTTTCAACAAAATCACTTTTCAATGGAAATATAAAATGGCAGCAGTTTTACCTCCTGAAGCCATTTGAACACAGGAGGAGCTTCCCATGAGTCATTGTATATATAGGCGCCTAGGCCTTCAGGAAACACTCTGGGTATATTATCTGTGAAACCACCACCAGTGATGTGAGCAATTCCCTTAACCCCTCCCTTGCTAACTAAGTCAAGAACTGAAATTAAGAAAGAATACTCATTTGTCAGTAAAAATGCATTCAGGAACTAAATAAAACATTATCACAAGTCACAAAAGATAATGACCTTTTTAACATAAATAACAGTTGGGGCCATTAGAGCTTCTGCAGTCGAAACATCCCCACCAGGAAATTGGTCCTGCAAGGAAAGCCCACTTTGAGCAAGCACTCTGTAAAGATATATGTTATTAATATTAGTCAAGAATAAAACTAAATGAACAAATTTGCAAAATCTAATCGATTCTTTACCCATACCTCACCTCTGAACAAGAGAAAAGCCATTAGAATGAACTCCACTTGATGGGAGACCGATAAGAACATCACCAGCAACTATGTTCTTCCCATTGATCACAGAGTCCTTCTTTACGATACCAACTGCCCAGCCACTAAGATCATACTCACCTTTTCTATAGAGACCAGGCATCTCTGCAGTCTGAAAAGATGTGAAATCAACCTTTTCTGTCTTTTGTTTTTTTGGTTTCCTTTTGCTGTTTGTTTAAACGTTGCCTTTAGTCTGTTTTTTTGGATTGTTGTAGCTTCTGTCTGTTTCTTTTGGTTTCTGTTTCTGGTTGTTTGGTAGACTTCTTTCTGGTTATTAATGAAATGATTCTTTTGTCAAAAGAAAAAATCTTGGCATCTATAATGTCAGATACATGTCAAAAGAAAAAATCTTGGCATTTATAATGTCAGATACATGAGTGTCAGCGAGTAAGCATATGGAAGAAGGTCCATTTACAACATCCAAAATTTTCAAATAATAAATTAATGATATATTCATAGGGTTAATATTTCTCCGATAAAATTGCAGCTGAATAAACTACTTGACTGTTAAACATAGATCACTGTCAGAAGAATTATGTGTCAGTTATCTACCTTGCTACATTAAACTGAAAAAAATAAGCAATCATTTATAGTTGATTGTTTAAAATGTCAATCTAAATAATAAGTCTGGGCTACAAAAGCTCAAGACTACATCTAATCCCAGAACTTGTGACTGCTCATCTTTCAGACACATAGTGGAGAATTATACTTAGCCATGGAAAAAATAATTTAACGGTAAATGCTTTAGTCATCTGGTGGGGGCCAATGGATTAATGAACAATAAATTAAATACCTGCTACAAATAAAGTAAATTATAAGACTTTCAATACCTCTCCTCCCAAGAGGGGGCAATCAGATTGCTGGCAACCATCAACGATTCCTTTTATAACCTGCATTTTACAAAATTAGGTGTGAATATGATAAACTATTCTAGTATTCTGTTGATAAATCAATATTTAGTTGTCGTTCTTTGAACAATAAGAAAATTTATGGCTAATTTTATGCAACTGTATGCACATTTATTACTACCTTTTCAGCAACGTCAACATCAAGGTGCCCCGTGGCAAAGTAATCAAGGAAAAATTGTGGCTTTGCCTCAGAAGTAACGATGTCATTGACGCTCATTGCAACCTAAAGTAAAGAGCATAATCAAAACACAAGTATTAACCAACACGTGATTATTTTTTACCGTGAAAAGTAAAACAAAAGAACCCAGTTGCCAACCAAATCAATTCCAATCGTCTCTCGTAAATTCCAGTTTCAAAAGCCATGCTCACTTTAGTACCCACACCATCGGTGCCGGCGACAAGATATGAATCATCACCTATCCAAAAGAAGTTGGTTAGTCTTACTTTATCGAAGCCTATTAGAAGGATTAATACATGGTTGAAAGAGAAAATACCGTGAGCGAAAAGACCACCAAAGCCTCCTATTCGAGGTGCCATTTTTGCTATCCTTCGTACAAGTTCTGAACCAGCATCAATATCAACACCAGCATCCTTGTATTTAAGACCTTGGTTATTGTTCAAAGCACCTGCTACGACACTATCCCTCAACTTAGATTTTACGTGGCTGCACGAACCAATTGATCCAATTCTCAATTCTCCAACTGCTCCATGTACGAAATGAAATTTACCGCCATTGCGGATACTTGTGCATTGACAATTCTCATTGTACTTATTAGGCCTTGGTCGGATGGAAACACCAGCAAAGCAACGCGATAGGTCTGCGCAAGCTTCGATTCTCATAACTGTCATCAGGAATTTGTGTGGTTATTACGAAACTGCTATTAGAATGGAATTACGAAGAATAGTGTAAACGGCTAGAGAAATTGAAGGTTTCAGAACCAAAACCAGAAGATGAAAGGGACAGTCAAGGTGGCAAAAAGACCCTGTTGCTTGTTGCTTAGAAATCGCAGAATATCAGCAATATATCAGCTGTGCGTAATTTATGCGCTAAAATATAAACACTACTTTAAATAAATTTGCCTTTTTCCTTTTGATAATTTTTAATAAAATTTAAATTCTAGAAAATATACATATAATCTTTAGAACAAACAATCTAAGGGAACACACGCGCACACAAAAGCAGCGGCTATTGACTAGAAATCTTTGAGAAAAGAAAACACACGCAAAGGAAGCAGAGTTGAAGCAGAAAGTCGTTAAAACAAAACACAATAAGCAGATTTCATTCGAAGCAAGAGTCTGTATAAATAAGAAGAAGAAGAAGACGAAGAAACCAAACAAATGAAGGACAAAACAGAAGACAGAAAAACCTGGAGAAGAGGGAGCACAGAAGATAGCGGCGAACGCGAGCACAGAAACGGACGCTGCAGAAGCGCTGCCCAGAGGGAGGAGCAAGACGCGGGTGTCTAGGGGTAGGAAGTGTTTCTCAGAAACACGGCCCAGCGGGAGGAGCAAGACACGGGTGTCTAGAAAGTGTTTGTCAGAAACATTTTTTTCATAAATTAAAACAAATTTTTCTACGTATTTAATCCGCATACTCTAATATTATTCCCTGGCTATCTTATTTTTAGATTTTATTTATTATTTTAATTTTTGTAAGAAAAAATGGCAAATGAAAAAGCACGAAAATATTATATTCCAAATCAAACACCTAAAATCTTAAGAGTAACTGATCTAATATTTTGCAAATATAATTAAATGACTAAAATATTTTTATATCAAAAATTTATTAACAAGGAGGGAGGTAGTACAACAATTATACCAACTATGTGGATATATACATTCAGGTATATTGTACTACTTCCACTTTTGATTATAAGAGATAGTTAACTAATTTAAGGAGATTAAAGAAATAAATTAAGTTAGTTATTTGTAATAAATAGGTGTTATTTTTTTTTAAGGTATTCTTACTAATCAAATGTGTTGACTAAAATTATCATTATTAGAATGATTATTTTAAGAAAAAATGTATAAACAAGTAGATTGGGGTCTTATATTTAGAACTAACATAAAAGTCAAATAAAGTCTTATATTAAGAACAGGAAATAATATTTAACAATAAATTTTTTTTTCAGCAATAAGAGTTTGGACCCAAATATCTTAAAAATAAGAACAAATAGCATATCTGATATGTTAACCTGCATTACTCTTGTTTGTTGACATCATCAATATAAAATATGAATATCACAAGTAGCTGATACACAAGGCATAAATAGTTAGATATGGTGATAATCACTGTTAAAAATATTATTGGAGGATTGAAATTTCTTTAACATAATTTGTCGGATTTATAAATAAAACTGTAGCTTCTTCTTCTTCTTTTTTCAATCATTGTATTTATCTTTAATGATATTTATTAGACATTTATAAGTTTTTCAATCATCATTTAACTTGTTCAATTCAAATAACTTCTTTAATCCTTAAAATTTAATGATCAATCGTGGCATTAATCTCCCAAGTTTGTGTACATAACCACCTTACCTTCCACCACTCTACAGAGTACAATAACGCACATAGCCTTTTTTTTAAAAAAAAAATTATTCTTTTGAGAAGATAACATCCTAAAACTCTAATTATGGATAAATAATTTCCTGCACTCTAAGAGAGGTGAAGATAAATGTATAATTTAGGGAAAGTATAATTTAGAGAAATTCACTATCAAATTATTTGAGTCTTTTATACGTACACAAACATAACCATTTGATATATTGTACAAATAACAAATAAATATAAAGATAGTTCAATTAAAAATAAATATAATTAAAATTTATAAAAGAAGAAGAAGTATAAAATGTAATTCAAATCCATATCAAAATAATAATAATAATAAAATGTAATTTAAATATCTTTAGAATATCTTTAAGAAAGAAGAAAATAATTCACTATTTGCCCATTTATATAAACTTTTATTATCAAGATTTAGACTTCGACAGAACCAGGTCCAATGCTCATACAGCAAAGCAAAACACCAAGCATAAAAAGGTCGAGGATTTTTATTTTCTTTCCTATTGAATAATACATTAATATAACACTTCAAATTGCTAATAAAGCGAAGGAGACGCTAGCCACGTTCCGCTCATAGCTGCAGCTAACTCATGAAGTCTTATGCTGTCTCTGCTGTAGTTGAATCTATTCCGAATTGATCTATTTGTCCACTCTAAAAATGAAACAGATTGGAATTACATGCTCTGCCTATATTCTTATCGACTGAGAAAGTAATACTATCTCTTGTTCTTAATATAAACTCCCCTTTGTAGTACAAATTACACTTCGATCTTACATTAAGAACCGGAGATAGTACATAAAATACAGTGACAGCAAATAATAATGGGTCATCCAAGACCACAAAGAATGGACGGCTTCTGCTTGTAACACAGCCTATGTGTCTTCATATTGCATAAGAAAGAAAGGAAGTGTTCCCACTTTGGAAGGCTAGATCTGAGAAACAAGGAGTTCATTCCAAGTATCTGGAACTCCAGGTAGGCACCAATGCAAACAATCGCTATCATTTTTAGTTCCTCGAATGGTGTAGCGAGACATGTGAGCCTCATCCCTCAATCGAGAAAGAGCAGTTATATCCAGCATTTTGATCTTCGTACCCCTTAACGCACCATGAACAGTTAGATCACTTGGTCCATCTTGTACAACCTCGTTTCCTCCAGACAAGGGAATGGTATTATCACAGCTACCTCCAGAGTTCCAATCCCCATTGACGAAATGCCTCGGTGATAAAGTCCTAAAGAATGCTTTAAGTTCGGGATGGGAGACAAGTTGTGAATCCACCCACCTAGCTACACTATAGATTGTAAAGTTCTTGGCCCTACCGATCTCTGCAAGCCTTCTGTCTTCATTAGGCTTCCCATCTACATACATAATCCACCGGTTTGCATTAAGTTTCCCTCGGTTCCAGTGGTGCCCTGTGTTAAGAATTAAGACATTGAAACGACTGATGAACTTTTTCAGAAATGCAGTTGGGCGGTCCAAGTGCATGGCAACATTGGTGAGTGGATCCTTGTTGTTAAGGCGCTCTAGATAACATAAGCTAGCTGACCAATAGTACAAGATTGTAGTGTTGGTCTTTGGGAATCTGTAAGCCCAGCCATCAGGACGAATAGCACCACGGCGTTTTACAAGACCGTATTTCCGTCCCACGTCTTCAACTTCAGGGCTCTCTTTACCACCAGTGGCCATACACATCAGAGATTGAAATTGTTGCCGGCCCAATGAATCTCCTACAAATGCTATTGTTTTGTCCTGCATTCTAGATTCCGCCTCAAATTAAAGACCAGCAGACCACTCACAACCACAGTCCAAATTCTCCAAAATTTAATGTTCAAAAAGAAAGTCAAACTTTCGCACCAAAGAATCAAAATAACTGGAGAGGCTTAGGAACTCTGACCCCTCATTCTGATTTCAAAGTTTAACTACCTCATTTCAGTGCTTCAAAGTACATATCACCTTCAAAGTTCCTCAGGTTAAGCTCGTCAAAAATTTCTATCACGTGTGATGTAGCTTAACATGAAGTTGATGAGGTCATTAAGTTGACAGAACAACTATGACTAAAACATCCAAAACAAAGCATCATATTTGGTAGCCATGATGCCAACATTATTTTGGTATTCCGTCGTGAAATTTTCCACAATAATTAGGCACTTTATGGCTTTATTAGATTGACAATATACCATATCACCCATCTATCTTGAGACGCTTAATGTGTGGATGAAATTGAAAACGAGATACTTTTTGAAGGATTAGAATGAGAAATTCAAACTTCGGTAGATCAAATCGACACAGTGAATCCTTCAATGACCAAAACTGTCAATTCAGTCCAAAAGGGGGGAAAAAGTCAATTGACAGAGCTGAAGCATATAGAGGATATATATATATATATATATATATATATATAAAATCAATAGGCAACTTATACTGAAGGTCAGTACGTCAGAAAAGATATACATATATATATATATATATATATTATAATGCGAGTTCTGTGCTCTGAGTTTGGAGAAAAACTTCGCTAAACCACAACAAACAAACCAATGAATAATTAAATTATAAGACAACCAAATAATAGTGTTGTAATATACATTCATAACTAGATGAGCCAAAAGATTAAAGGGTTATACCTACTTTCTCAAAAATGCAGACCGGTCAAACTCTGGCATGTCACAATTTTCTGGCTGCCAACGGTATCCCTCATAAGAGAAATCTGGTCGCGGTGTCATTCTACATGACCACATTGGGGATAACCATTTTTTGCAGCCAAATCCAGAATATAATGGTCTTCTCTTGTCTGCAACCCATCTACCCTTTGCATAATTACAGACTGCAAATACAAGAATACATTAGCTCTTACATTAATGAACACAGAGAATCTCCATTTAGATGAAACCAGTAAAATAAATCTGGCTAGTTAGTTCAATTGAAGATAAGAAGTGGAGGATATGCAACCACAGAGAGGAACTTCAAACATAATCAGCAGAATAGTATTCTAGTTTCTTAATGTTCAAACAGGTGTCTCTTGACCGTTGGCCATTTATATTTCTAGTTTTCACAGGATTGCCTGTTACTGTCATAAAAAGGAGAACGGATACAGAAATACCGAACTATAATAATGAACACGTTGCTAAAAAGCATTGACAAGAAGCTTCTCTTATCAAGAGCTTTCCTTTTATTTTCTATCATTTAAAAATATGTCCTGCAAAATCAATACAATTCAGAATGCAAATATCAGACTTGAGGTTGTATAAGAAAGGCTCTCCATATTCAATTCATGCGGGCCATTGACAAAGATGGAAAGAAAGTACACACGGCGGAAGGAATGATACACATTACATGACTTGAGCGAGGGAATGGAAAGGCAAACGATCAAATATTCCAGCAAAATAATGAGTTATGAAATTCAAAGTCAGTAACAATCATGCAACTGTGCAAGAAGAAGAAGAAGAAGCCAACATATGTAATTTCAAATAACAATAATAACAGCAACAGAGACAAATAGATGCAGGAGAAAAAATGTTCCACTACAATTTCTAATTTTGAATAACAATACAAAGAATATACCTTTTCTTCCTGAAGAAGACCTGACACCCTGACCGTGTTGTATTTCGGGAGAATATGAAGGGACAGAATGCACAGGAACTGCATCCGCATAATCAAGTTGCACTTTGGTTTCATTTTCATTGCTAGTATTTAAAGATATCTCCTCGCTTTTTGCCAGCTTTGGACCTCCCACTGAATTATTTGGGGCTTCTACTATCACTCCTAAAAGGAGGGGGGAATCAGCACAATTTGAAACCAACAGGAGCAGGTTTGGAGTAGGATAAAAACAGCAATATGAACATGAAATGATACAGAACCTATTGCGGGTGACAGTAAAATTTAGTTAACAGCCATTGGAATAATGACAATCAAATTCCACAAGAGATGCAAGAACCGCAGATATGATATAATATATTAACAATATCAGCGGGAATCCGTCTGATTTTTCAAGAACCGCATATATAAGTTAACAGCAATACGTCTTCTTGCAGATTTTGTGGATTAAATATCTTATTCCTCTTAAGCACATCTACAGTACTGAATCTGCTTCCGCCTAAAGTTTTTGCTGTCAGTGGTTGAATTGAAACATGAATGGTTTAAATCATATGGCATTCCCGCATCACCCAATCCCAAAGGCACCACATCTGTCGTTTTTTACTTATATACTTTCTAGGGAGACATACCTGATAAAGGTTTGTGATACCACTCTTGAGCTGAATGTAAAGTTATAGCTAGTGGATTTTTCTCCCATGTCCACAGTAATGTGGTCATTAGAACAAGAGAAAGAAGGACTACAAAAAGATGCCACCCTCTCAAGCCATACGTGGGTCCTGCTTTCATCTCTGCTTATATGCTACAGAAGATGCAGATATTTGGCTCGGTCAGTACCTTCAGAAAATATCCAGAAAATAATATAAACTATTCTTCCTACGAAGGCTTATCCGTATTAAGAGAAGATAGGAAGAGCAGGATCAGAAAAACAAATGGAAGCATATAAAAATTAGCAAATATGCTGGAACTGATGAAGCTGCACTCATAACAAAAGCACATTTGTCTTTATTTTTTACGTTATTGTGTCCACATCAGTAAAAGCATGCAGCCATTTTTAAGTACCAATATTTAAAAATAAATAAATAAATTTTAGAAATTAACTTTCTCTTTTTTCCTCATATAAAGCTATAAACCACAAGACTCCAAACAGTTGCCAGACTAAAGATTTAATAAATCCAGACCATGGAAGAAGTGGTGTGAAGTATGATCATAAACTTAGAGCAAATGGAAGCTCAGCAACCACCCCCCCCCCCCAAAAAAAAGAAAAATGTATATCCTGGGGCCTTGCCCACCATGGAAGGGATAAGGATATTAATATAAAATACTACATAGCCCTTTCCTATCAAGCTTGACCTCAGTTTCGTCCTCCCCTTAAGCACGCCCCACCATCATGCTGTCTAATCTATTGAGTTGAATAGAATACACCATACCGCAAGCAAAAATGATTTGATTTGAATTATTGTGCTACACTTACACACTTTGATTCTTGCCAAGGTTCACAGGCATCCACTCGCCAATGTAAATTCAAAAATTGAGTGTCAGCACAATTAGAGGTAGATATATAAATAATCACCATAGTTTAACAGTTCAAACTTCAGAAGTTTTGTTGTCAAAACAATACCTTCGGATGTTCCAAATATCTGACAGACTAATTCAAAATATTCATAGCATTCATAATGCAACATTCATTGCTTCTGATACTGAAGTAATGATAACTTTCGTATGTGTTCTGATGTAAGTTGTAACTGGGACATATCACAGTAACTTTAAAATATAGAAATTCGCTTTGAAAGTAAACTTACAGATCCCAGAGGAGCCGCTGGAAAGGTAATTTTGAATTATTACAGTACCGACACAAGATACCCAAGGAAATTTGAAGCATCAGTTCCAATTCTCCTCAGAAATGACTAGAAACGTTGGGCTTCAATGCACTGAACATCAATGCACTCAGCCGCAATATTCTGGTGATAAAAAAAGCTAAATTTCAAACAAAATTGCGCATAAAAAGAAATCATTGATGTAGAAATGAAACGAGGCACGAACTGTAGACGAGAAAAACCAGAAAAAAAAAATAACAACACAAACCCGCACAGTGGAGTCGCTTCTGAAATTACCTGTGTGACTTTGTTGGGGTGAATCGGCTATCACAGTCGCAGATCCAATTCGTGTTTTGAGAGGAGAAAGAGTTGAGCGAGTGTAAGAGTTGCTTGTTAGCAAGTGCTGTCCTCTCGACGCGGAACTTACTGCCCAGAAGCTCACGGGATGGGGTAGGGGAGAAATATTTGTAAGGTGAGGGATATTTTCGACATATAGCCAAATGAAGGGAGGTTATTTTAGGAATTATGGCTTGCTGAAATGACCAATAATTTTCCCGAGATCTGGTGGCGCGGCGTGGCAATTGATTATTGAAAGGTTTGCGGGGCATGTTCCTACTGACAACATGGTTATTGTTAATTAATAATTTAAATATTGCCCATAAATCAAGAAGAACTGTCCAAAACAAAATATTGCAGATAAATAAGTGGGAGATTGTGAATTTCATTTAATTTATAATCTCATGTTGTTTCTGTTTTTCTAATTAAAAACAAATACCGCAGAGAAAATCACTTGTATAGTTTATTCACTATGCTCTTCTCCAATCTAGGACCAGAAATTAAAGTCATTTTTTTAATCAAAGAAGGGTCAAGTCATTAATTTAATCTTAAAATAAGAAAAATTAATTTGCATATATTTTTGAAATCAAGCTTTGAAAATAAAAATTAAGTACTCCTATAAAAGAAAAGCAACAAACAAATTACATCAAATTTCAATAAGAGTAATTTAAGAAAAAAATTTATTGTACTCCCTTTATTTCTTAATATAAGACCTACTTTATACTATAAAATGAGTTTTATATTAAAGATCAAAAAAATATTATTTCACTGAGCAATTTAAAGGATTCGGAGAAATCTAGTACTATCTCTGGTCCTAATTATAAGAGCCAGTTGACTAATTTGAAGAAATTAAGAAAATAAGTTGAGTTAGTTATCTGTCCTAAATAGGTATTGTCTTTCCTAAAATATCTTTACTAATCAAGCGTATTGACTAGAACTATTATTGTTAGAATGATTACTTTGGAAAAAATGTATAAATATGAGAAACAAAGTGGATTGGGGTTTTATATTTAGGATCAAAATAAAAGTCAAATAGGGTCTTATATTAAGGACCGGAGGTAGTATGTAATATTAGGAATATCCACACATAAATGGATTGCCACCTGAAATCGCCAGCTCATTAGCACTATTGATAATGCGATGGCATCTTATACCTAAAAGATCGAATTTTTAAATAATTTTTCTCTTGAATTTTTATTTACATTTTTAGTGAATATGTTATCATATGAGGTCAATTTACATTTCATTGCATGAAACTCACCCGACAAGCAAATGGATGACTAACTAATTTTGTCATTTTGATGACATGTAAAATAATAAGACCTGAAACAATAAATTACAGGAATAAGATGAAAACCTATCCACATAGTATTTACGCACATGACACCACCTAGTTTCTTTGATTGCAAAAATGTACAAGAAGATTTCAAAATAGTGCAAAAATATGTGTCTGTTAATGTGACCTAACTTTTGTTGCTTTTTGCAGCTGGACAATAGTATGGGCCTCATATGAAAATTAATAATATTAGTATTTTTATATCATTTTGAAATCTTCATATGTATTTTTTACACTTAACAGAGGTTTATAGTGCCAAGTACACATTTCCTTGTCATGCGTAGACTTACACCTTAATTTTAAATTAAATTAAATTATTATATTATATTACCTCAGTTTTAATTTAGATGAGTTTTATCCAATGTCCACCCATTAAAAAATATTGGGTGGTTTACATTTTGAATTTTTTAAAAAAATTTTATCATTATTTAATAGATCACATTAATGAAGTAAAGAAAAGTAATTTCGATATATCCTTGCAACTTGTGAGCATTCTAGTTAAAAGAAATATCCTCGTATTCTTAATATAAAATCATTAAGGATTGGAAAAGTATTAATTATCTCTAACTTTAAGATTAATTGACCAAAACATGTTGACAATTTTTCATTTATAGGAAGAGTAGCGTCTCTTGCTGGTGGACAATTGCTCTTTTTTACCATGGAAGTAATATTGCAATGTTTTTATAATTTGGATATTATCGCGTCAAAAAACATGCTACATCCAATCCTAATTTTAAAACTCCATTTATAATCTACAAACAAAATTTTATAATTAAGACGAAAGGTAGTAGGATATATACACACACTAACTTATTAACTGCTCATACACAAGTAGTCAAGGAACAAAAATGCTTTTTAATTTAATACTCATCCGGTCCTTAATATAGGACCCAATTCTTGAGTTGATTTTGGTCCTAAATATAAGGTCCATTTCTCATATTTATCAATTTTCTCTAAATTACCCCTATGAATACTCCCTCAACCATAATCAAGTAAAAGAGGGAGATGGGGTATTAAGAAAGATGATTATGGTGTTTTAGGAAAGATGTGTCACTTTTCTTATAATTAACTAACTTACCTAACTTCCTTAATCTAATCAAATTAGTTAAATGGGTCTTACATTAAGGATCGGAGGAGTATTATGTTGTTTTCAACTTTAAGTTGATGAATATGCTTCATAATAGGAGCTTTTCCGCCTTGAATAAGCCAATTGAACTTTTATTTTCATCTTCGGTGTGGGAAGCAACTTTCAGTTAAAAGAAAGTTATTCTTTGCTCTTATGAAGACGAGATATACAATCGTTGTCTCACTAAAATTAATTATTATACTCCTTTCGATTTTTAATTAGAGCTTTTCAACCAATTTTAAATAGATTTAAAAAATTATATTAATTAATTAATTTTAATAAATATGCTATGACTTATTTAAAATAGCCATGCGAGACATTAAATTATACTTCTCTGATTCTCAATATAAAAGATAATTGGAGAATTGAATTTGATTTTAAATATAAAACCTTAATTTACTGTGTTTTTTATTTTTTTTAAAATATTTCTATTGATTGTAAGGAATTAATTATCACCAAAAAATAATTCTAATCACCCACTATATATTATTAAAAAAGATATTTGGGAAAACTAACATACATTTATAACAAATAATTAGCTTAACTATTTTTTTTAATACTTTTAAACTAATTATCTAGTTTTTATATTAAGAACTAAAGATAGTATATCAGTCTATATAAACAAATTAATTTTAACCATAATAAATATAAAAGATAAAGTATATTGGATTTTAGATATAACACCAAGTCGTATGTTAACAATGGACTGAGGCCTCATTACGCTGCGTGCTGATATATCCACCCGGAACACATAGGGCGAGGCCGGCACGTCTATGATGTTTCTGCGACGAGGCTGCCACGTGGAATCATAACAAATTAATAAGGCACTCGGGAAATGAAATGTGAGTGAAATTTCTTCTTTTTTTAATTTCAGTACACAACGATTGACTTTGAGGTTGCTTTTTCTGACGACACTTTCAGTTAATTTTGATTTATAAGAGTCTGCAATATTTTAGTGGCCACTTGGAGAATAATACACTGAGGTGAATCCTAACATAGATATATGGTACAGTCTTATTCTTTAATACTTCTCTGGTCTTTAATATATGACTCAATTGTTGAGTTGTTTTTTATCTTAAATATAAAACCTATTTCTTATATTTATCAATTTTCTCTAAATTACCCTTATGGATATTCCCTTAATCATAATTAAGTAGAAGTGGAAAAGGAGGTATTAAGAAAGATGATTATGATATTTTAGGAAAAACGTGTCACATTTCCTATAATTAACTAACTTACCTAACTTCCTTAATGTAATCAAATTAGTTAAATGAGTCATATATTAAGGACTGAAGGAGTACTATTTTTGGTCCTTAATATAAGATTTTCATTTGAATTTTATTTTGGTTCTAAATATAAAATCCTAATCCACTTTATTTCTCATATTTATCCTTTTTTTAGAATAGTCATTTTATTCAGTCCTAATTTTAAGAGCTAGTTGACTAATTTGAGGAGATTAAGAAAAGAAGTTAAATTAGTTATTTGTCATAAATATGTGTTTTCTTTCCTAAAATATCCTTACTAATCAAATGTATTGGTTATAACTATCATTGTTAAAATGATTATCCTAAAAAAAAGAATAAATATGACAGGCAAAATAGATTAAGATCTTATATTTAGGATCAAAATAAAAATTAAATTAGGTCCTATGTTAAGAATTTGGGATAGTATTCAATTTGAACCCAAATACAAAACTTAGCATAGGATATGTCGGTTGTTGGTTGACTTTGCGCCCCTATCCTTAGTCAAAGCACAGGGAGGAAAAGTCAAAACATTCTCGGCTGTTTTCCATAAATCACGCCGCCCGTTGGCCTCTTCGCTATAAACTGGCAGTAATAGAATTTTATTCTGATTATAATGCAGCCAAATTAATTATCATAAATACAGTAAAACTTCCTCGCCATATAAAATTCTTGGTTCTTAGATAATGACAAAAAAAATAGTATTTTCAATTCCATCTGAACTCCATTATTTACTCGTTAGAGGGGCAAGAAAGTGATATTATAACGGAACAAATTTAAATCAAGTTGCTTAGATTTATTACATCCATTGTTTGAATCAGATTCTCTATGTGTCTTAATCTTTTCTATATCAGCATATTTGGGGTTAAATGCTGATTGAAAAAATAATATCATCTCATATCCTTAATAAAAGAGTTAGTCAGAAATTTAAATTGATTTTAAATATAAGATCTCAGTCTACTTTTTTTTTATGTTTATTTATTTCTCCCCAAATAATTTCTATAATAATTACATATGTTAAAGGATTTTTATTAGTAGTAGTTCAAATGCATATGATTAATAAGAACATTTTAAGAAATAAATCACTTATTTATTATAATTAACTAACTTAACTACTCCTCCAGTCCTTAATATAAGACCCATTTAACTAATTTGATTAGATTAAGGAAGTTAGGTAAGTTAGTTAATTATGAGAAATGTGACACATTTTTCCTAAAACACCATAATCATCTTTCTTAATACCTTCTCTCATTCTTTTACTTGATTATGATTGAAGGAGTATCTATAGGGGTAATTTAGAGAAAATAGATAAATATGATAAATGGATCTTATATTTAGGATCAAAACCAACTCAACAATTGGATCATATATTAAGGA